GTGGGCAAGGTAATTACTTATTACGTAAAAAGTTAAATCAGGCAATAAAAGTTAAAAAGTTAAATCACGCAATAAAAAGTTAAAAAAGTTAAATCATGCAACAAAATGTTATGTTTGTATATATATAAGTATATATATTATTAGTAAATTGTCGCATAGTGTGATTTAACTTTTTACGTAATAAGTAATTACCTTGCCCACTCTTATGATTATCAGCTGAGTCGATAGCCTACCGATGTAAATCGAAGTTAAATATGAAAGTAAATCTTAAAAATTAAAGAATGCTGTGAATCAATATGTATAAAAATTTATTAAGAATCAAATTCTTTGAATAGATCACGGCGTGTGACAATAGCATCTCTAGTCCCATCACTGTATATAAATGTGTCGCGAAAGCTAAAAGTAAATTTAAATACTGTTAAAAATTAATCTTTTTGACGAACTGAACTTCTCAGGGGAATAAATATTACCAAATTATTTTACGTAATAGTAATAAATAATAAGGCTTTTAGCTTTTATAAAGATCCAAAACACTTTATTACTTTATTTCTTTATTTCTTCATTACTTCATTTCTTCATTTCTTCATTACTTCATTTCTTCATTTCTTCATTACTTCTACTTTATTACTTTATTATAATTACTTTTTCTAGATATATAAAAAAAAAATTTGTAATTAAAAAGCCTGCTGAGCGAATTCATACGTTAGAAACAATTCATTAACTTTATGTGGCCTAATAAGTAAATTGTACTATTTACCTGATCAGATTATAAAATTGTAGATATCATTCAGATTGTATTTGTGAATCATAATAAGTAATAATAATTATTATTAATAATTATATAATAATAATTAAATAATCAATCATAAGCAATGATCAATAACAATATGTAAAAGTGAGAGTAACAATAAGCATTATTACTTATTTTATTACCTTGTCTAATTCTACTACGGGATATAAACTATTTATTAAGTTAACTATCTGCGAAATGATACTCTTTAAGAGATTAATTCAATCAGTAAATTTGGTCTCCCCTGGCAGATAACATCCCACCAGGCGTGGTAAATGCACTCTGAAGATTCTCAGAATATGTTTTTTAAGACTGAGTAATTGGAACGCAAATTACATATTTATTTATTACACACCCTAACCGTAGTAATCAGATTACCTAAATAGTATTTTAGCGGCGTAAATAAACGAACACAAGTTTGACAAATTTGGCTTGCATTGATAAAATTACCAAATTGGTAAAATATACGTAATTCCTAGATTTTGCGGATAATAGTTTGAATGATTCCGAATCTTTTTCTTCTTTTTAAAGGTCCTTTTTGATTGTTAATTTTTTCTTACACAATTTTTAATTGTTCCTTTTTGATAAAGGCTTTTTTTTATCATAACAGTTCACAGTTAAGTACAAGACACGTGTTCGGATCTTTATGTCGAATTATCTGGATGTGACAAGGGTTTAACTTTTATCTACTGTAAACTAAGCTAAAATAATATAACTACTGCATAGCCTCATATTTGTCATGCATCTATAGATATCAGAATGTCAACGGCTTGTAAGAAGCATTAGTAATCATGAATCATGATAATTTACAAGGTATATATACATATCATAATAATAAAGAATAATAAAGACATATTTCTATTGTAATAATCATTTTTTTTAAATCCAATAATATATGATTAATTTTTTCAATTTAATACTTTATAACTACGTTAATTAGAGCAAATATTTGTCCACGTGCGAAGCACGAATTATTACGCTAATATTATTTTATATTACTTATACAAGAGCTAAAGAATGTTCTTTTTGGAACTTTTAACACGTGTCAAAATATATAAGGTACGCGACAACAAAGCTACGCATTACTACAGAATATTATTTACAGTATTATCGTAATAAAATTATCATAATTAATAATATTCTCTCCTCTTCTTTAAATATCAATATGGAAATGAACTTTTTAACAAATTATCAAAAACTAGTCTCAAAAATCAAATTTTATATGTGAAATTTGTAAAGAAACTTTGTGATAACTTTCATGAATCAATAATTTATTGATTGATTTTTTTTCTTTCCTTTTATTTTTCTTTTTTTCTTTCTTTTTTTTTTTTTTTTTTTGCTAAATTTTGGTTTATTTTATTTTTTTACTGTATTCTAGTTTATTTTTTTTTCGGAAAACAGGCTCCAGTACAGCCTGCCTCTGTGCATCTAACTTATGATTAGATGATCTTTCCTTGAAGCGTAGACTAAATAAATTACCTTATTAATAAATTAGCCATGCTGTGTAATAACATTGTTTAGCTTTCTAAAGTTGAATTTCATGCAAAACATTGTGAAAAAAAAAAAATTAATAAATAACCTGCCTTTTTTTTTTTTTTCTTCACCAATTCTTATACAAAAATTATTGGATATTTTTTAATTACTCTAATATATAACCAAAAAATTAAAAAAATATATATATCAATTTTATTACTCTTAACAATGATTATCATACTTGAAGAAAATCCTTCAGCACCTAATGAAAAAGATACTGCCTTTTTACGTGAATTACAAAGAAAAGTACGCAATCCGAATGAAATTGAACCTTTAAAAAGTTTACCATTCCCTCCAAAATTTGATGAACATGTTTTTTTTAAAAGAAAAGGAAAAATTAATAAAATAAAAACAAAAGCTGCAAATGGTTGGTTCTTTTACAG